GTTGTGAGGTTCCAGTAATGATTTCTTTCTTTCTTTCTTTCCTGGTGGTTCCGGGACTGGCATGACTGGGCTTTTGTTGCTGCTATCAGTAATGGCATCGCAATAATTCCTCAGAGTCCCAGGCTGGTGGGGGCTGCGGGTCGAGCACTGGGAAAGGAATGAGGTTTCCTCCACTCCCTTGTCCTATGCCCGACCTTTATTGACTCATTTTCAAGCCATTTAGTGGGGTTGTTTACATATCCAATACATGTATTTACTGTAAACATTTTTTTTAATTTTGAAAAATACCAAGAAGATGGTGAAGGTCACCTGTGATCACACCACCAAGAAACATGTGCTGTTGATGCATTTCCTTCCAGTACTTTTTTCTAGATTTAAAAAAAAACAATTTTTGTTAAAAAATAGAAGAAACGCTTTCCCTTTTCCCTTACTTCCGTTGGTTTGTCTACATTGTTTTGTGACGGCTGCCTGGTGGCCCACTGTTTATTTAATAAATCCCATCACTGGACGTCCCAGTTCCAGGTAATGCCACAGTGAGCATCCTCACAGTTCTCTGTGCTCAAACCACTAGCCAGTTCCCTTGGCAGAACCTCCACTGACCCTGGGTCAATGGGGATGACCCTCCTAACAACATACTTGACCTCAGAAACAGCCCAGTCCTCACTGCATAAGAACTGAGCCCCCTCTGCTATAAGCAAAGGTCATCACAACCAGCCTGGCCACAGCATCATGGAGCCCAACATCTTTATTCTACAGCTGGGGAGACTGAGGCCCAGAGAGAACTGACTTACCCAAAATCATCCCAAAGGTAGTGACAAACTCCATGTCATCTAGGGATTTTCTCCGCACTCCATTATCTTTAATATTTTGCAAGAAAATCCATAATCTCTAACAAGGATGCTGGGGGGATGTAGCAAGGATGAAGCATCTGTGTCTGCTCATGGCCAACATTGTTAATCAATCACCAAACTGTCTTCTGCTGAGCCCAGACCCTTGAGAGCTTCAAGAGCCATCACCAGGCAGCTGAAATTGGCACAAGAGAAAATTCTTCCGCCATGCTGGTGGAGCATCTTTGGTGCCAACAATTGAGGACCTGAGCTTCTTCGGGAGTGGCTTGAATTGTTTCTTGAATTCTTTCCTTGTTTCTTTCGAGCCAGTGACAGTTGGCAAGGCCTCTGATTTCCATCTGTCCGCGTCATCAGAAACCCTCTCTGGTTTTCCGCATGACTGCAGTCTTCCCAGGAGAGCTTGGCCCTCATTCCGGTGAGATGGTAGGGCAGGCTGGGTCAGTGAGCAGAGCATGGGCTCTCACTTCAGACGGAAACGGGTTCCAGTCCTGGCCCTCTGCGTTATGTGTGGGACCTTAGGCAAGTCAATTCCCTTCTCCAAGACCTACTTCATCTGGAAAATGGGAGGATAAAACCCCTGTTCTCTCCTCTCTTGGCCTCAGTTTGGTGATCTGTAGAATGGAGATGATCTTTTCCACTCTGCCATCTTGCTGCGTCAGAGCACCCAGCTTTGATTTAACATCAAATTATCTCCCCACCCCTAACCGAGGCTTCTGTGGATCGGCTTAGTGGGAAATGGGAGAGGAGATGTGTGTTCTCTCCTTGCACTTCCCTCTCCTTCCTGCGCTCACTCGCGCGCTCTCTCTCTCTCTCTCTCTCTCTCCCCTCCACCGCCATCCAGAAGGAAGAAAAGGGGCAGGAGAATTTTCCTTTGACAGACATTGTTGCCAAGTAGCTCCCAACTCTTTGGGGAGCCCAAAAAATATTGACAGCCAAGTCTTGTCAGCACCTTCAAGGAGGTATTCTTACCTCCCTGTGGGGCTTCTTGAGCTGCACCCCCCACACCAGGGCAGAGCCCCTTCAATGTAACTGTCCAGCAGGCCACCCCAGCCACTCCCAGCCCCTGGTTGCCTAGCATCCTCTCCAGATGGTGATACTAGGAAGGACTTCAAGCAGCACTAGACTGAACTCCGTCTTGCAGGATCCACACCTGGCCCTGAGAAAACACACACACACACACACACACACACACACGTGCACTTTGACCCTGCCCAGAGGAAACAGATAGCAGTAATTTTTCACTTACAGAAGTCACTTTGCCCAACATGACTTCAGCTCATCAGAAGACACAGCCCAGTCCATTGCAAGCCCCAACTCCAGGGGACACAACCCTCAAGCCCCCAAGTGGTCTCCGAAAAGGTCCCTCCTGCTAGGCCTGCAATGAGGCCCAAACACCTCCTGCCCTTCTCCCTGGGAGAGAAGGAGGGACCACAGCTGTCTTCCAAGAAATACCTCTGCGATCTTCCTCTCCCTTCTTGGCCCTTTTGTTTCCTTAACGTGGGTCAGGGCCCCCTGCATGGGAGACCCAGGAGCTCTGCAACTGGTTTTCAGCCACTGCTTGAGCTGTGGCCCAGGCCCTCTCCTTGGTATACAGCATCTGGGAAATCATGGTGCCTAGAACAACACCCCAGTTTTCAGACCCAGTTCCAGTAAATGCTAGTAAGGACACCCTCAGTGTGCAGCAAAAAGAGCCCTGCCTTAGACAGGGTGGCCCCCTTGTCCCCCCAAGGAGGCAACACTGAAGCTGAGACTTGGTGAATAAGAAGAAGCCAGAACAAGAGCTGGAAGGAGAGCACTCCTGGGAGAAGGCCAGCGCATGCACAGGCCCTGGGGTGGGAGTAAGAGGAGGGAGGGATGAAGTGGAGAGAGATGAGGACTGAAAGGTGGCCAGCAGCCAAACATGCTGGGAGGAGGACATCCGGGCCAGGTGGAGCAGCAGTCAGGCAGCTTTATGCAGATGTTGCCTTCTTTTTTGTGTATGTGAGACAGAGTCTTGCTCTGTCACTCGGGCGGGAGTGCAGCGGCGCGATCTCGGCTCACTGCAACCTCGCCCTCCTGGGTTCAGTGATTCTCCTGCCTCAGCCTTCCGAGTAGCTGGGTCTACAGGCGCATGCCACCATGCCCGTCTAATTTTTCTTTTTTAAATATTTTTAGTAAAGACAGGGTTTCACCATGTTGACCAGGCTTATCTCAAACTCCTGACCTCAGGTGATCCACCGGTATCGGCCTCCCAAAGTGCCGGGATTACAGGCGTGAATTTACCACTTGCTGAATTCTCTGATGTTCCAAGCATTTCTCATAACCTTATGAGACCCTCAAAATAGTCCCATTTTACAATGGAGGAGACAGTCTCATAGAGAAGAAGCAATTTTGCAATTTTCCCAAGGCTGATGGCTGTCAGTACAGGAGCAGGAATCTGAGCCGTGTCTGTCAGCCTCCACAGGCTTCCTCCTGCCCTCCTGCGCTTCTTCCCAGACAGGGCACGATTAGGTTTTCGGGGGGTGAAGACGGTACTCCAGAAAGAGGACACGGCACAAGCTAAGGCCTGGGAGCTGAAGAGAGGTGGAGCCAAGGCCAAGAGACCCCAGCAGCCTGAGGAGGGACCACGCGGTACTGAGGGCAGGTGTGGGGTCTGGGGCCCATGGGCCTGCAGAGATGCAGCCAGCCTTGCTGTCCCAGCACATGGCAGGAAGCAGGAGCTGATGCAGTCCCAGGCCCTGGCACTGGGCCCCAGCACCCCACAGAGGGGCATTGTCCATGGGCAGTGGGCATGGCCAGCTGGGAAGCCAAGCAGGGGCATTTGCCTCTCTGGAGATGTGCCCAAGGGATTGGCAGGGTCCTCCCGGGAGCGCTCTTGAAACACTTCACCTGTAGGTATTCAGAGCTTTTGGTGTGTTTGCAAACACAGCCAGACAGCAAACGCTCTTCACCTTGTTCTTTTTGTCAAAAAGCAGGAAGAGGAGACCAGCCAGGGCCTGGCCACATACTCTGTGACCTCAGGACACTTGCTTTCCCTGTCTTGTCCACTGCAGATGGAGACAGGATTCAACAATGGCCATCCCAGCTCTAAACCACAATTCCATGCTTCTAGACCAAAACCAGGTAGCAAGGATAATTCCCCAGATGACATCAAGAACGATGTTGGTGTCACCACCGCCTCCAGTGCTAAGTTGAAGTCTCTGGGGAAGGACAGTGTGGCCATGAAGAGGGTCCGGTCTGGACTAGATGATCAGGCTCAGGTCCCAAAGCCGGAATCCCCGGTCACGTGACCTGGAGCAATCAGTCACCTCTCTGAGCCTCAGGTGCCCTCTGTAACATTAAGGTTGCTGACGTCCACCTCTGGGTGACTGTGCAGGCTGCATGCGCCAAGGTCTGGGCCCAGGTGGTGGATGACAGGGTCCTGCTGGGCTCCGACATTTGTCCTTTGGGTTCATGGTCATCCCTCCTTATTCTTCTGGTCCACAAGTGCTCACAGAGGTTCCTAAAGATGCAGACAAGGTAGAACAATTCCAATTGCTGTGGAATAAATGAATGAATGAATGAATGAATGAAATGAAAGCCCATGCTAAGTGCTGTGTAGGCATTCACTTCAGCTCATGCTCTTAGCAACCTATAAGGAGGAGCTACTATTATCCCCATGCTACAGATGAGGTCACTGGGGCCCAGAGAAGTGAAGTACCTTGCCCAAGGGCACACAGCAAAGCAGTGGCAAAAACAGGATTCAAATCTATTCTCCTGGGTGAATTAATTGATGGAAATGTGTATCCTTGATGCATTTAGGAGTAAGGGGTGGGTAAGGCTACTCCTTCCTTTTCCCAATTTGATTATCTGGACTAAACAATTGTTGTAATCCCTCTACAAAGGCTCATCCTATTATAAGCAGTAATAATATTAACAGCAATGGCCACTCACATTTACGGAGTGCTTATTCTGCTCTATGCACTGTGCTTCTCTCAGCCTGGACCTTCCTTTCTCCAAACCTCAGGAAGCTGGAGTCCCAAGGCTGCCTCCGGGCGGGGCTGTGGTTCACCCGAAGCCACAAATATTTACCTTGGAGACCTTGGCCCGGTCTGAGGCCTCTGCCCAAAGACAAAGCCTGTGCTGGGGTGTGCAGGATATAAGGCTGGACTTCCAGACCCAACTCCTGGGAGAGGAGAGGAGCGGGCCGAGGACTCCAGCGTGCCCAGGTAACAGCAGGGAAGGGGTTGAAAGCCGAAGTTGCCAGGAAGGTTCTGAGCTAGAGATACCTGTTGGGGTCAGGTCAGGAGCACAGGGGAGGCTCGCCCTCAGTGAAGGGCCCTCGGTGAGTCAGGATCTGCTGAGGGTCAGGGCCGGGTGTAGAGAGATGCCCAGCTCCCTCGCCCAGAGGACCAAAGGGCAGTGACGAAGGGATGGGGCTGGCTGAGTCTTTTCCTGATCTCGCCCTAGTGACATAAACCCACTCTGCACATACCTGTTGCTCTGTGCCCAGCTGTGCTGTGGTGGTGCTGGGACAAAAGAAGCATGAGACGCAGACTCTGTCCCTCAAAGAACTCTCAGTGTAGGACAATGTGGTGCCCAAGGAAGACCCAGCGACATGGGAGTGGAGGACAGTCAAAGAAGGGTTCCTGGAAGAGGTGATGTGTTGGTTGCAAAGCCAAGTAGAAGGTGATTGGGCAAAGGAAGAGAGTGAGATAGTCCACGAAGGGGAACAACAGAAGCAAAGGCCGGGAGAGCAGGTGCCATATGACAGGGGCGTGTGTGGTGCCTGGATCTGGGGGAGGAGAGGCTTTTCCACAGGAGGGAAACGGGGATGCTACTCCTCCCCCAGATCCAGGGTCCCTGGATCCAAAGAGGACTGAGCAGTGTGTACAGATAATGCAGGACAGACAGAGTCAAGGTATTTGCAAGAAAAATATGGAGAGGGGCCACAGGGGCGCCTGGATGCGGGGGTTCAGCTCTGTCTTCTGGCTTTGGCTATAAGATGTCTCCTTCTGACTCCAACATTAGTAATAATACCTGTCATAATCATCGTGGAAGCTACTATTTACTGAACACTTGGCCATACCAGGCCACAAATAGATTGTCTCATCTAATCTTCCCAAAAAGCATGTGACATAAGTACTGTAATTAGTCCCCATTTTACAGATGGGAAAACGGAAGCTCAGAAAGGGTAAGTCACTTGTCGAAGATCACAGAGCAAGTGGTAGAGGCCGGCCTCCAACTAGAGTTCGTCTGGCTGCCAAGCCAATAATATTTTCCTCTCCACCCTCAGGCCTCCTAACACTAACCTTTTCAGCTTAGCAGGCTCAGATTTCCAATTCTTTCGGGACTTCCAGAGGCTATGTATTTATTCAGCAGCCATTTATTAAGCACCTGCTCTATGACGAACACTATACTGGATGCCAGAGGCACAGCAGGGAGCAGGCAGACCCAGGCCTCCCTCCCAGAGCTCACAGCTTGGTCAGGGAGGCAGAAGCTGAATCGTTATTGCAAGGGTCTCAGAAGAGCTCACACTGCTCCAGGGCACAGGAGACGCATGTCATCCGGATGCCACATTTGTCTTTGGCAACGAGAAACCCACATGCTAAACCAAGAGAGGGCTTCATATCTCTGCAGTGTCTCCCCTCCCTCCAAGCAGACAGTCCACAGGGGCAGGCGCTTCCATGGGGGGCTGGCAGGCAGAGCCAGGGTGCAAGCTGGAGAACTTGGGACTGGGTTACAGGTGTTGATGCCCCACCCCTGTGGAGGGAGGGGACAGAGCAGCCAAGGGGCCAGAATACCCCCAAGCTCCTCTCCCTGGCATGAGCTACAGGGCCCTTTCTCTCTCTCTCTCTCTCTCTCTCTCTCTCTCTCTCTCTGACTTTCTTTCCCTGGCTCCAAGAAGCCATCCAGTCCCTCTCCAACCCCCTTAGTATTGCAGATTAAGCAAACAGCTTTTTCACAACTTTGAGTCCTACCTGGCTCCTCATTGCCTTCCTGCCTCCAACCTTCATGTCCTGGGCCCCAGGACAACATTTCTCCAAGTGTGGTCCAGGGTCCCTGTCTGCAGGACAGGGGAAGCTTTATAGGGAAAGTGAAAAATCTTGGCAGGGTTTCAAAGGATGAATAGGAGTTCATCAGGGAGATATGGGAGGAGAAAAGCATTCCAGGAAACAAGGAACAGCAAGAGCAAAGGCACAGACGCAGGAGAGAGCAGAGTATGTCCTGAGACCTTCCAACTGCTTGGAACTTGCTAGAACAACGGGAGAGAAAGCAGGAGGTGAGGTCAGCGGAAGGTGAACCATAGAGGGTTTTAAGTGTCAGACTGAGGTGTGGTGGACACAGGAAGCAGAATTTCTTTGTTCTCAGTATTGTTGCTGGATTTTCTGTAAGAAAATGGCTAATACATTCCAAGTGCTTACCATGTGAAAGACACTGTGCTAAATGATTTCCAGATATTAACTCATTTAATCCCTCAACTCTGTGAAGTTGGGGTCATTATCCCCATTTTTCCGATAAGAAAACTGAGGCACAAAGAGGTTATGTTGATTGCCTAAGTCCGCACAACTAGCCCAGGCAGTTAAACACTGCACTAAACAGCCTCTCCTGGACACCGTGCCCCGGTCACTGGGCATCATGGGCCTGCCCTTGGCCTCTCTGCCTCACGGTCCTCTGTGCTCACCCCAGGTCTGGCATCCAGCACTTGCTGCTCTCTGACACCCGGGAAGATGGCCAGCCCGTGGACCTTCACCCTTCTCTGTGGTTTGCTGGCAACCACCTTGATTCAAGCCACCCTCAGCCCCACTGCAGTTCTCATCCTCGGACCAAAAGTCATCAAAGAAAGTAAGTTTTGTCCCTCTGGACCTGGCTGCCAAAACACAAGGGGGTAGGTGGGGCCGCTTCCCAAAGGAGGGAGAGAGTTCCTCATCACGGGGGGTGTGCAAGGCATGGCTGAGATCCCAGGACGTGGGTGAACATGAGTGATGAGTTGTAAAGGTCTGGAGAGTCTGTGATCTCAAGAGTCCACGATTCCAAGAACCCCTTCTTAAATTCCACAATTCCAAAAACCCTGAGTTTCCACAGCCTGCAGAAGGGGCGTGCGGCCACTGTGTGCAGTGATGCAGCTGCCTCTCCCACTTTCCTCACCTAAAATCTCATCGTCAGAGCACCGCCTCTTAGTTAGACCCAGTGTGCTCCTCCTCCCCAGAGCAGAGACCCTTGACTGCAAGTGTGGCAGCCTGGGTCCCAGGCACAGTGTATCACTCTCCAGCTCTGGGGCACTGGGCCAGTCCCTGAGTCTCAGCTTCCTCCTCGGGACACAAATAAGAGGGCCTTCCTCACTGGGTCACTGGAATTGACTAGAGCTTTATGAATGCTATGGCCATGCTTCTCAACCTCAGCACTTCTGACGCTGTGGGCCAAACAACTATTTATTATGGGGGGTGTCCTGGTCACTTTAGGATGTTTAACAGCATCCCTCACCCAACTGTGACAACCAAAAAGGTCTCCAGACATTGACAAATGTCTCTTAGGGGACAAAATCATCCCAGTGGAGAACCACTGCTCTAAAGTCTCATCTGTCACCTGTCAGCTCTGGAGGCCACCTGAGCACTTAGAGGACCAGACCCCTGCATTTGGGGGGACTAGGGACCTGGGTCATGGCCAGAGGGGCAGGGGCAGGTCCTGTGGGACCAACAGGCTCCGTAGCCAGAGGATGGATTCCCAAGTAAGGACAGGAAGCAGAGAGCTCTGAGAGGTTGGAGGGAAGCAGAGGTGGCCTGGATCCACACCGTGAAGCTCAAGCGTGTGGAATTTCAGCCAGAAGGAACTTAGAGAGGAACAACCATGCTTTAGGTTCTCCTAAAAGGAGTTGTGTACAAGTGGTTGGTTTTGAAGGTGATCCCAGAAACACCTACAGGAGTGTAGGGAGGCAAGACAGGGAAGGGAAGGCATCCCATGAGGGATGCATGTCCAAGCCAGTTACCACTGTGGTGACTGGAGCTCAGTCCTGCCTAGCAACTGCATCTGTTAGGGCCAATCACAAGACAGAAACCACACAGTAATCCCAACAGGTAAGTTTAATGTAAAGAAGTATTACCAGGGGATTGGAGGAATGGGGAATTGGCTAAGAGGGAAAAGAGAGCTCTAAAGGATAACCTAGGGATGGAGGGGCTAGCCAAGGACAGAGCAAGCTCAGAGGTAGAGAGTCCTCCCCAGTCCTCATTGTAGAGGGTGTGGTTAAAGTCCACTGTGTGGTGGAGAAGTTTGCTGCCTTGTCCCAGGCCGGAGCTGGTCCACAGTTGGCAAACTGAGGCTAGTGGGTGGAAAACTATCTGCCAGGGAGCTGATATAATTCTCTGGGAAGCTGCCCCTGGAGGAAGGGGGCTGCTGTTAACTCACAGGGAAGCTATCTCTGGGGAACCGCCTAGAAGCTAGCCAGGGTGCCTGCAGAAGTCACTCAGCAAAAGCCACTGGGCAGTGACACCATAGGAACCTGGCAAGAGGAGCATGCCAGGGCCATGAAGGGAATCCCCTTCCTCCCCCATGCCCCTCCAGAGTCTCCACTGAAAGGGCTTAACACTGTGCCAAATGGCAAAAAAGAAATATTCACAGGGCCCAGTTCCATTATCACAGAGCAGGCAAAGTGGGTGGATTTGCAGCTGAGAGGCTATAACACAGGAGCTCTGATACACAATGAGGGACACACATCTGAGCCATCCTGCCTAAGGGGTGAGGGAGCTGAGGTATTGATACACCAACTCTCACCAATCACTGGCTGAAGTCTCCTCCTGGGGCATCAGCTCTCCAGCACTTCTGACCTGCTCTGCAGAGGAGCCAGATGGGCTCCAGCTGCTCACAAAAAGTTGGCTGGGACAAGAACCCAGGGCTCCTGAACCCCTATGCCTCTGTCCTGGCTCCTCCTTCCTCTGCTCAGCACCTGAGGCTTTTTGGACCACATATCTATAGGATATGAATGCCAGACAATTGTTAACAAGTGTGCTTTGGCAGCAAAACAGCCCCAAACAGGGTTTTGAGGGTTCCCTGCCTCTTGGCTCTAGAAGTGCTTGCAACTGGCTAAGGGGATGAGTGCAGGTCCAGGTGCTGGGTGTAGTGGCCAACAATCCCCACAGAGGCTGGCAATGCTCAGGGGTGTGAATGGTCCCAGCCTCACTCCTCATGTGAAAATGACCCATCTGGGCTACTGTCCTCAAGGCTACATCTACACGGTGGGGACTGGCAGGCTGGTCCTGACCTCTACCATAGTAGAGATGGCTACACCCTCGCCTTACCTCAGGCAGCCTCGAGTGATACCCCTCCCCAGCCTGGAGCCCCCACCAAGCCTTCCTCCTTGCCCCTCCTCCTGAGCCCTAATCTCTGAGGTCTGCCTCCAGAGCTGACACAGGAGCTGAAAGCCCACAACGCCACCAGCATCCTGCAGCAGCTGCCGCTGCTCAGTACCATACGGGAACAGCCAGCCGGAGGCATCCCTGTGCTGGGCAGCGTGGTGAACACCGTCCTGAAGTACGTCATCTGGTGAGTGGAGCGGGACCACACCAGGAGCTAGCCCCTTTCTGCCTGGGACACACTCTGCATGCTCAGTCAACCAGTCTGCAAGCATCGACCTGTGTCAGATCACAAAGAATAGATCAAACAAAGCCCCTCCTTCAAGCAGCTCCCAGAATAGTTAACAAGAACCATAAGACAGTGATGCAGGAACCCCTAATACAACAACCCCAGAGCAAAGCCAGGGACGGTGGCTCAAGCCTATAATGCCAGCACTTTAGGAGGCCAAGGTGGGCAGATTACCTGAGGTTAGGAGTTCGAGACCAGCCTGGCCAATGTGGCAAAACCCCATCTCTACTAAAAATACAAAAATTAGCCAGACATGGTGGCAGAAGCCTGTAATCCTGGCTACTCAGGAGATTGAGGCAGAACAATCGCTTGAACCTGGGAAGTGGAAGTTGCAGTGAGTCAAGATGGCACCATTGCACTCCAGCCTGGGTGACAAGAGCAAGACTCTGTCTCAAAAAAAAAAAAAACCAGAGCAAGGTTGTCTGGGGTGGCACAGGGAAGGGATGAGGTGATGTTTCTCACTGGAAGTGACAGTTGAGCCGATGACTCAATACTCACCAGGAGGCAAGCAGCAAATGGCATCCAGGTAGAGAAATCAGCCTGGGCAAAGGCATGGAGAAGTGACAGTCAGTCAGAATGGCTAGAGCTCAAATCTCAAGGCTAGGAGTAAGGGATCAGCAGGGTCAGGTCACAGAGGGTCTTATGAGTCAGCTCAAGGAGCTGGGAGTCACCACCTAGAAGAGAAGGCACCACGATAGCATTGTGAGCAGGACTGGAGGGGAGGGATGGAGGCAAGACCATCTGGAGAGGAGTCAGTGGGCAGGACTAGGGTCTCGCTGCTGTCTAGGCACCCCAGGAAGACAGGAAAGATAGAGAGGGAGTGAGTTTGGGAACAATGAGTGGGAGGCATGATTCTGATCTCTCCTAAACCCCATCCAGGCTCAAGGTCACCACAGCTAGCATCCTCCAGCTGCAGGTGAAGCCCTCGGCCAATGACAAGGAGCTGCTAGTCAAGATCCCCCTGGACATGGTGGCCGGATTCAACACGTGAGTGACCCCTCCATCAAGTACAGTAGGATTGATAGGCTCATCTGCTTGTTCCCCCTCCCCCACCATGCAGATGTCTGGAAAAGAGAGCTCCGAGCAGAGAGAAGAGCAAGTGCAGAGGCCCTGTGGCAGCAGTGTACTTGCCTTGCTCAAATAAAGGCAAAGACAGGGGAAAGAGAGAGGGGGCATGGTGGGAGATGAGGCCAGCAGGCAGCCGAGGCCAGATCATGCAAGGCCTCTTGGGAGAAGATAAGGACTTGGCTTTTGCTCAGTAAGACGGGAGCCAGGGGGGATTCTGAGCAGAGGAGGGATATGCTGTGCTTTAACATTTTTAAAGACTCCTGGCTGCTGTGGGGAAAAAAGACTTTCTGGGGGCAAGAGTGGAGACAGAAAGGCTATCCCAAAGCTACTGCAACAATTCAGGAGAGACAATGATGGCTTAGACCAGGGTTTGGGGCAGGGAGGTGCTGAGAAGTTGATTGGATTCTGGATATGTTTTGGAGGTAGGTGGAGACACCAGGATATCCCGGGAAACTGAGTATGTGTGTGTATGTGGGGGGAGAGAGAGGGAAGTCAAGGATGATCCCAAGAGTTCTGCCTACACCACTGGCAGGATGGACTGGTCAGTAACCAAGACAGGCAAGGCCATGAGAGGAGCAGGTCTGGGGAAGAGCCAGTCCAGTGTTGCACGCGCTAAACTTGAGAAGCCCATGAGACATCGGAGTAGGGGGCTGGGGGTATGTTTGGAAGTTGTCAGCAGATGAAAGAGGTTTCAACCAATGAGGAATCTGAAAACTGAGCCTGGGACATGCTGGGGTGAAGCTGGGTGGAGATGAGGAGAAACCAGCAAAGGAGACTGAGAAAGGAGGTGAGGACTGGAAGACAGAGATGGATGGCAGGGGTGCTCCAGCCCGAGCTTGCCTGGTGCTCACATGGTCAGGTGCCTCCACCCGCCAGGCCCCTGGTCAAGACCATCGTGGAATTCCACATGGAGACTGAGGCCCAAGCCATCGTCCGCATGGACACCAGTGCAAGTGGCCCCACCCGCCTGGTCCTCAGTGACTGTGCCACCAGCGATGAGAGCCTGCGCGTCCAACTGCTGCATAAGTGAGTGTCGCTGGCCGCCAGCCGGGCTCCCATTCTGCCTGGAAGAAACGCCAGGCGGTGGACTTCCCCCATTTTACAAATGGAGAACACTGAGGCCTAGAGAAAGAAAGGGGCTTATCCTCTCCTGATTCCTGATCTGGGGCTCCTTCCAAGGAATCTGTGATGCCAAGGGAAGTTCAGGACCTCAAGGTCAGAAGCAACAACGGTGGGTTTCAGGCATGACACCAGAAGGTGGGGCAAATCTTTGAAGGTGGAGGCCTAGAAGCCACTCCAAACACCCAGGGCAGGTGTAGGTGGAGCCAGGGGCAAAAACAAAGTCGTTGGGTCAGGCCAACACATTCTCTTCATTTGCTCTCTGGGTGATGGTGGCCAAGTGGCCGCCCTGTGTCTCACTTTGCTCACCTGTAAAGTGCAGGTAATGACACCTTCCAGGCAGTGGTGAGAAAACTGATCAGGCAACAGCCATCAAGCACTCAGAACAGTGCACGGGCATGGTGGTGCCCAAAAACATGGCGCCCCCCCCTTCCCTTCTTAGCAGGAGGACAGGGAGCAATGCCAGCTCCCATTATCCCAGTACCCAGCATACAGTTCCAATGACAACACCCAGCTGCTGCTTTCTGATAACTCTTTGCTGCTGCCTACACCTGGCTCAGGGGCTACTCCCAGCCCAGCCCCATCTCTAACACGTCCTGTGACCTTGGGCAGGTTCCTTCCTCACCTAGACTCAGCTTCTCCCTCTGTAAAATAGGGGAGGGGGTGATCATCTCTCACCTTCCTAATGTCTCTCATGCTCTCTTCCCTGAAAGGTTCTCCTTCCTGGTGAACGCCTTAGCTAAGGAGGTCATGAACCTCCTGGTGCCAGCCCTGCCGAATCTAGTGAAAAACCAGGTGAGTGGAATCAGGGCCTCTCTGGCCTGTGGACATTGCGCCCCTGTAGGGCTTGGGTGGAACTGCAAGCTGGTGCTAATTGACAGGAGTCTCCTTGGGTGGGCTTTGCTGAAAGAATTATCGGGAGCAGGATAGCAAAGAGTCATGGAGTGGGGTGGGCCATTGACCCAGGCAGACAGTTGAGGTCAAGGTCATGGGACTGCTAAAAGTCAGCCAGGAGCCCTTGAACAGTGACGTGCTGATAAATTTTCAATAGTTGTCTCTGGAGGGGTTGTTGAGGGAAGGCAACCCTGATTTGTAGCTTTTGCGGATTTCCCTGGTGGAAATACTCCCTTCGGGGCCAATTTTAGGCGACCAGTGTGATGTCACTGAACAGAGTTGGCAAAAGATGTACAATAGCACACGACCGTATATTTCCACTAAACAGATACATAAACATGACCTCAGGAGTAATAGATAGTAGTAAAATACAGCAAAATAATTAGGAAGCAATGCATTTTAAGCTTTATTAAATTTGTTTTAACATAATTTATTTAATTGTGTTTATATATTTAATTTGTAACAATGTCTGGGCTTAGCACCCAGCCCAGAAATTTGTGAAAATTTAACAGTTGGTTCTCAAAAGCTAGTACGAGCTGGCTCTAGCATGGCACAGTCACACATCAATCTGGCTGTGGTCTTCAGGGCTGCACCACCCACCAGGTCCTTTTGGATTTTTTTTCTGAGTCAGTAAACACAGGTGATAGTTGCCCCTATTTGTCACAGGTATACTAAAACTTTGTAAATTGAATTCATCCACATTGACCAGTGATTTCCACTGTAAATTCCAAGATGTGATCCTAACAATGGGCCACCCCATCTAGGGTCAAAACACCTTGTCAAATAGCTAATATTTCTTGTAATAAGACTTTTTTGTTTGATTTTTGTTTTTGTTTGTTTGTTCTGAGACAGGCTCTTGCTCTGTTGCCCAGGTGGGAGTCCAGTGGCGCCATCTCAGCTCACTGCAAACTCCGCCTCCTGGGTTCAAGCAATTCTCATGCCTCAGCCTCCCAAGTGGCTGGGATTACAGACGAGCACCACCAGGCATGGCTAATTTTTATATTTTTAGTAAAGACAGCGTTTTCGCCATGTTGGCCAGGCTGGTCTCAAACTCCTGACCTCAGGTGATCAGCCTGCCTCAGCTTCCCAAAGTGCTGGGATTATAGGCATGAGCCACAGTGCCTGGCGACTTTTTTCTTTGAAAAGATGATGCAATAACTAAAAAAAAATTGGTGAAAAAATATCCATAATCCTTTTACTTTCATCCAGGAGCACTTTGATCTTTTGCAGATTGCCTTCCCACCTCCATCCACATGCACTAGTATTTTTAAGAGGCTGTTCTTGGTGTCAGCCTTTAAATCAGATCTATGTTTTGAAGTCATTATACAATACTTGTAATTATCAAATAGGTACATTGTATTTAATAATTTACAAAAACATTCCAGGAAATCCTTTTTAAAATAATGTGATTTTATTAAGAGTTCTTTAAAATGACAGTAGGAATATTTAAAACAGTATTTTAGGCCAGGGCCAGAGGCTTACGCCTGTAATCTCAGCACTTGGGGAGGTCGAGGCAGGAGGATCATTTGAGCCCAGGAGTTTGAGACTTGCCTGGAAAACATAGAGAAACCCCATCTCTACAAAAAATAAAACATTAGAATAGCTGGGCATGATGGTGTGTCCCTGTGGTCCCAGCTACTCGGGGGGCTGAGGCAGGAGGATCACTTGAGCCTGGGAGGTTGAGGCTGCAGTGAGTCACAATTGTGCCACTGCACTCCAGCCTGGGCAACACAGCAAGACCCTGTCTCAAAAACTAAACAAATAAATAACACAATGCTTTATACAAACAATGTGATTTTATTAAGAGTACTTTAAAAAAATGTAGATTTTTATTTTTCTCCAAATTGGTTTCCATGTCCTTACCTTCAAGAAAAATACAGTAAATCATTTAATCTCCATTTTGTGAAATATACATCAACTGTACAATATACGATTACGTTTGTTTCTCTATTAAGCTGGAGTTATGATTTTCAACTTCTGCTTCTGCTCTACCAAAGCTTAAGAGTAGCATGTATAGTCAAAGGAAGATCCATTATTTTAATAGTCGAAATATCTACATATTAAAGAGGCCAGGGAAAAATAGGTGAATAATCAAAAACTAAATAAAGCTCAAATAAGATCTTAAAAGGTGAATTTCAGAAGCAATGTTGATTCAGCCCAATTCAAGCTACCTTTCTCCAGTACTTTTTTGGAAGAGAATGGGGAGAGACAGAGAGAGAAGAGATAAGAAGGGAGGAAGTGAATATAATGAATTAATGAATTGTGTGATATAATGAATATAATGAACAATGAATATAATGAATTGTGTCATATCAGAGTGCAAGACAATGGCTTGTTAGAGTTAGAATGTTGAGACTCCGACCTGTTAGCAAAGGTACATATCCAGGGAGTTTTTTAAAGGGAATCCAAAAGTGAAAAATTTCATAAAATTGGAATTTTCTTATGTAAGAAAGAAAATTTTGTTTTTTTCTTCGAATAATGTTATTTATCTGTTTTAAGGTGGGAATTTCATAAAGTAGGACCCAGCTGTAAATTTTCTTCCCAGCCTCCAGCAAAATCATATTTTATTTGGCATCACACTTTAATAGTTAAAAATATATTTTCCGGCCGGGCGCGGTGGCTCAAGCCTGTAATCCCAGCACTTTGGGAGGCCGAGATGGGCGGATCACGAGGTCAGGAGATCGAGACCATCGTGGC